ATTCCTTGACGACTACGCCTATAAACAGGCCTTCCTTTAGGCGGGCGGAAAAACGCGTGACAGCCTGTACGACTACGAACGACCAACAATCACAATCGCCGCCTGGACGGGGCCATTCCGGACACTGCAAGAAATGGACCACCATCCCCGGTACAAACCACGAACGCAGGAAAACGCGCTGCCCTGGACGCACTGGGCAGGTGAAAACTGGGCGGGTGTCTCAGGAAGACCGGACCGAACATACTCCCACAATCCGGCAAACACAGCCATGCCCCCACACGATACGAAACTAGCCGAGTACGTTCACGATCAGGTTGTGGTAATGCTGTGTGTTTCCCGCCCAGCCAGAGGTACGGAGCTCGTCCACAGTACGGCACCATGCTACGGCAAGCAGGACAGTACGGGGGACGCAGGCGCAGCGCGGACATATTTGCTGCACCAGGAAGGATGTCAGGAATGATGCGGACCGGCGCTCAAGCGCAGGCGCAGCGCCCGGCACTCGCATCAATTTGACGACACTTAAGGCTTGGACAGCGTGCTCGTCCAATGATACCTCACAATACAACCTCCAGCCCTGCTGGCTAGCTTGGGGGTTGGGACTGTCACCTCTCACCAGCGCTACGCTCTGCACCCCACAACCGCCCCAACCAAACCCACCCCGACCCGGAGCCCGCCCCACACCGCCCCCCGACGCCTTGCGCCATCCCTCGTCAGAGTAATGTTCGAATCGCAAAGGCGGGAGTTAATGTTTTAATCGCAAAGACGGGGAAAACAAATCGCTTTGAAGGAGTCTGACCAACCGATGCTACGACATACCGGTACGTCTCGGGAGGCCGTCTCAGCCCTTCTCTCACGGGGCCGCTACCCGCTAGCGGACAACGGCTGCCCGGGTTTAGCCGCATCATCCGCGACAACGACCAACGAGTAGTATCGTATCAGGAGGGAGTGAAAGATGATGACAAACAACGACGCGACGTCGTGCATCTCCAGCGCGCACAGGTGTAGCACGATATTCCTTCTCCCTCGACCCGCCCTCAACACCTCAGCTCCATCCTCCTCACCGCCCTCCGCAGCTCCTCTTGAAGCCCGGCGCGGCAGCGCTAACATCGTACGACAACAGCGGCGTCCCCTCCTCCAACGCCCTGCCCTTAAACGAGCCGACGGTTAGCAGTGGCGGCTGACGGAAAAGAGGCTGTGGCGGCAGCGGTGGCAGCGATCCCGTACGGCAAAGCGTCGCGGCCGTCGCCATCACAGGCGCCGCCACCGCCACCGCCATCGCCGCCGCCGCTGACTCCTTGAAGGCACCGCCGGCGACGGTGGGAGAGACAGGGACAGCCGCGCACGGGCAGGCGACGGAACCCACGGGCGACATCTCCGAGTACGACGAGGAGTTGTACGAGTCCGTACTCCACAGACGGAAGGTCGCAGCGGCTACTACAGGGCCGCAGCTGCTGCCGACGTTGCCAACGCACGCCCCGAGGTCTTTACCGCCGCCGGGGCCGCCGGCGGCGGCGGCGGCTGCGGCAGCGGCACCATGACAAGGTTCCCCGCCCGCGACAATGGAGAGCGCGACGCCATCGACGCCGTCCCTGGGCGTGGGCGCCGGCGTCGGCGCCGTCAGGTCGATATGGTGCCCGGACGGACCCGGGTGAAACCACCCGCCGCCGCCGCCGCCGCCGCCGCCGCCGCGACCGCCGCCGCCGCCAGCACAGAAATTGGCGTCGTCCAGGCGGTGGTTGGTCCAACTGGCGGTGGTTGGGAGGTCAGTTAGGTCCAGCTCGCACAGCGCCACCATGCCAGTGGGCCAACCGCCGCCGTACCGCTGTTTAGCAATCGCCGCCGCTCTGGCGGCGCCGGCGATTGGGCTGAACTCCTCCAGATCCAGATCCTGCTCCTCCGCGAGGCTGAAGCGCGGCGCCGAAGACCCGGCGCCGGCGGCGGGGTTGGCGGCGGCGGACGACTGGACAGCGCCGCTGCCACTACCGCTGCCGCAGCGGTGGCGGCGGCTGCTAGGCAGCGGCAGCTTGACCACGTGCACCAGGGCGCGCGCTGCGCGGCGGAGGCCGGAGCGGACGCCGCTGACAGCGCCGCTTCGCAGCAGCGCCGCCGCCACGCCGCAGGTACAGCCGGAGAAGCCCTTGTCCTCCAGGGACCTGTCGGGCAGTGCGCCGAGCGAGGCGAGGCGAGGCAGGGCGGTGGTGCAACGATGGCGCGCTACATCTGGACAAGTCTGAAGACCTTTCGGGTCCACTGTCCAACGGTTCATTCTGTACAAGAGGGGCGACGATGTGGTAGCGGGAGGCGGATAAACTCTCACAAACCCTCTTAACCCCTGTGCCCTGCGTAGCAGCAAGGGGCGCGGTCTCGAGACCGGCACGTGTGAGCCGCAAGTGACCCTGATGCCTCGCGCACAGGACAAAATGGCCGTGCATTTGCCGTACCTGGTCGTGATGTCTTCATCGTCCTGCCACGTCACTCGCGGCCGGCTGGCCGTGTCCGGCTGCGGCTGCGGCTGCGGTGGCGGCTGCGGCGCCGTCGGCGCCGTCGGCGGAGGCTGCGGCTGTTTCAGTGGCCTGCAGGAGGAGGCAGCGGCCGGGCGGGAGAGGGGTGTCCGTGCGTCTGAGCACCCCAGCCGCTGACCCGCGCATGCAAGGCGCGTTGCACGCAGACGCGCGGCAGGCAAGGCACACACACACACACGGATTCGAGGCCACGGCAGCGTCTTACAGCTCTAGCAAACCGTCGCGATCCATCCGAGCCGATGGCAAGGTGAACCAGGTGACATCGCACGCCGCCATATCTCCATCGTCCGCCGGATACAAAAGCGGCGCCTTCTGCTCGGTAAAGAAGCGCCGGCGAATGGACAGACACCCACGGCCGCTACTACCCAAACGTCCTGGCCACATCGCATCCGAGAGGTCTCCCGCTCTACGCTCCATCTGCGAAACCCTATCAACAAAACTCGAACAGCAGAATCCTGCGCAACATGCACAGTGAGCTGTAAACGGAGGTCGCGCAGCGAAACCGCACTTCTGTTCCGGCCGTGGGTCACTCCAAGGCGCGTCTCGACTGCCTCGACTGCGCAATCAGTCCGCGACCGCCCGCAATCCCCAAGGTCGGTCGACACAGTACGTTACACATGCACATACCGGTACACGCAAATACGTATATACACGGGGCAACGAGCCACCGCGCCAAGCGCACCCGGACCATGGGCGCCTCACCGCTTCACGAACGGCTTCTCGGTCTCCAGGGGCCTCATTTTGGCAGGAGGGGGATTACCGGTAGGCTTGGGCTTGAGAGGGCGGCCGAAGGGGTGCGGGTCGTTCCAGGGCCGACCGCAGTTGTCGTCCTCCTCCATCTCCCGGTTCGCGGTCTTGTGTGGGAGGGCAACGTAACGCCCGAGCAGCTCGCTAGGACAGAGCAGGCGGACAGAGAGAAATATTAGCTCGTAGCTGACGCTGGATTAACAGGAAAATCGGGTCGCCGCATTGTTGGTTTGTTGCGGCAAGCGGTGCAGCTGCCAAGACGGCGCCTGCGCGCGCGGACAGTGGCTGACAGGTGCCCGCCCGATGACAGGCGCCGTACTCGCTGGCGTCGTTGGTGGCGGAGTTTTTGAGGACCGGGGGGGTAGGGATTCGGAGGTTCGGAGGATCCTCCGCTGCGTGTTCGCCCCGATTGCCCCTTCATGGAAGGCACACAGTACGAGGATGAAAATAACGGTGACCTGCAACGGTGTTGCAGGTCAGGCACCCAGAGGCACTGAGCTGCCTCAGCTTGTCACCTCCGACCTCGCAGCCCACACCGGGTTCTCCGAAAGAAATTTGGTCCGATCGCATCGCTCCCTTCCGGACCCTTTTACTGCCTGTCAAATTTTTATTTATACTTTCCTGCAGGCCGCGAGGTGTGGCAGAGTGTTGTACGGCCCTGCAAGGCCCCGTCTGCAGCCCCAGCCCCACGCATCCAACGGCTGTCCCCTTCATAGTACGGCACTCGCCATCTTTGGTCAGCAAGCCGCCTCGGGTCGGTCTCAGCGTACCTCGTGAGTTGTACTGCCTCCGTTGTTACTTGTTAGAGGGAACATACCGGTGGCGAGCTTCGAACTTTCGACTGGTCGCCTCAAGTTCCGACCGTATGTCATCCTTGCCCCTAAACTGGACTTGTTGTGGCTCAGTGACGCAAGAATGCCACCACCACGAACGACCACGTCCTGACACAAGCCGCCTAGGAAACGGCGCCACGGTCGCGGAGGCCGACCAACCTTCTCGGGAGCGAAGGCCCTACCGGCCCCTGAGCGGCTTCAAGAGCAGAACAACTCCATCGCACAGGCAGCCGCCGCCACCCAACCCACCCAACTGCCAACCACCAACAGACATCCGGGTTCACGTGGGCCGGTGGGCGGCATTGCCCTGCGAGCGGGCCATTTGGTTGACCAACCGCTTTCCTGCCAGCTTTATTTCATCACACCGTACTTCCTTCTTATTCCCACCTACACCAGCCCGCCTGCACCGGGCTGTGTACTAGCGCCGCTTTAACGCACCGAAACATCGCACCGAAACAGGAAGTCCGCCTGAGCCTTCCTTCCATAGCCTCCGCCATCGCACCCATTGCACTGCACGTGATGTTGGGCCACATGCATCGAAATAGATGCTGTAACAGCATCTATGTCGATGGATGTGACCCAACATCAACCGGGGGCCGTTGATCTCGGGGCTGCTCGCCTGTGGCATCTAACGTTCCGTGTGCACAGTCCTGCCTGCACTGTCCTTTCGACTCAGGAGCCCTCTTGTGGTGTAACCCGGATCCAGAATACGGGAGCCCACAGTCGCACAGCGGCTACAATTCAAGCTGTCGTTGGCTTTCCATGCATGATGAGATGCGGCAGAAAGCTACGCACCTGCCGTACTGGGTACGGCGGGTGCGTGCCTATTGCTTGCCTGATCAAGTATTAGTTGAGGTCGGTGGACATCAAGTTGCAACCGAATGAGTACGACGTACGAGAGTACGTGGTCGAGTGGTCAAGGGGTCTGACTCGAATCCATCGACGATCGATCAGATGGGATTTCCCGGATAGGTTCGAATACTGTCGAGTGCACTATTCTTGTTGTTTTGCATTGCCGAAAGCCAGTTCAACGCACTCCGAAACCACCACACGCCATGGCCCTATGCCGCCCTCATTAGTGCGCCGCCAGGGTGGTTGACTCGAAGATGCGGTCGGCGTTGCCCACCTCGAATCCCTCCCGCAGGTGCTCCTCACGCAGCTCCTCAGCCTGGGGAAGAGCCACGTATCAGGGGAGGGAAACAACGCTTACATACAGCAATAAATTAACGTCATCGGTAGATGGGCGCATTAGGGTGGGCACTGGGCGGCGTTCGGCCCTCATAACGTATTTGGCACGGGGTATCAGCCAGATGGCGGGTGCCAGGTAGCCCCCAGCCGCACGCTGCTTTCCAACTGCAGGAACTGCCTAAGAATGGCCCGACGCGTGCGGGGGCGACCCTCCCGTCCCAAACCCATCCCCGGTTCCCCGCCCTGCCCCCCGGCCACCCCTTTGCCTCTCTCACCCGGAGCTCCGCGAACCGCGGCAGCCGAAGCCGCTTCACAAACTCTGCGCAATGAGGGGTCCCGTGATGGCGGAGGTCACAACAGGGCCACCGAGAACCGCATGCCGGGGGCGGGCCGAGGGGCCGAGCGGGAGACCCGAGACCCTCCTCGCGCGCGGGGCGGGCAGAGCGGGGCTGGGCCACAGCACACAGCAGCACCGCACAGCGTGATCACGAGCTACGGCATATCGTACAGACAGCCGGCTGTATACCGGGCGACTCACTAATCAGTCTTCCAGGGCCCCTGCCACTGTACCGGCTCCAGGACTCGCGTCGTCGCGAGTCTCGACCTCACATGCAACTCGTGTGCGTGTTTGTTCGTTCAGGTCACGCTGCGACGCGGCGGCCAATGCGGTTGCAGGCGCCGCCTCGACCCGCCCACCCGCCCTTTCTCTTCAGGCAGTAGCGGTGGCGACAGGTGGCTCCAGAACCACTCGAAGGATCAGGCAGCCATTGGGTCAGGCAACCGAGGTGCGGTCGACCTCTTCCCCCCGGTCCCGGTCCCACAACTCACCCACGTACGCCGCCGCTATGTCGCGCCGCTGCCCGCAAGCGAAGTCGAAGGGCCGACGGTCGGCCACCACCGAGCACTGAAGCAGCAGCCCGTCGGGGCTCACCTGCCCTCCCCCCAGGACAGCAGCGCGGCAAGGGCAGGGCAGGGCATTTGCAGGAGCAGTCAAGGGCAATGGCAGTGGCAGCAGCAGCAGCAGGGGCATTGACGGCAGTAACATAGGCGTCAGCCGCGGCGGTGACGGCGGTATCAGGTACGGTAGCCGGAACGGCGACGCGGCGACAAAGGCGGCCTCAAAGCCGGGGGGGGCCCTGGGCTAGAGAGCTACCCCCCGTGATCAATACCTGCCCAACTTCCCAACACTGACACAGCAACAATAACATCAACCAGCAAAGCAGCCATCCGGCACAGCTTTCTTAACCCACCAGCACCCCACCAACTCACGTGCTGCCCTGCACTACACGCGAGACGCCGCCCCGACAACCCTACTCCCAACGTCAACATGGCAACACACCTTGACCAGCCCTCCCTCCGCGTTCATGGCCATGCCCGCGCCTTCCAGGTGCCTCACGAAGTCGTTCATGTCCAGATTGTGGCCCACCCCCCGCGGCAGGCGGTGCAGCGCCAGGGCCGTGTGGTTGAGGCTGTAGCCGTGAGCGAGCACCCTGGAGGCGGGGGCGAGGGGGTAAAAGGTAGGTACGACAGCTTGCACGAACATTCAAGGGCTGCAAAACTGTGCCGGTAATAGAGGGCGTCAGCACTGAACTAAACTTCCCAGGTGGGATCATCCGGTGGGGGTCAGAAACCCTGAAGGTCAAACACGCACCACGCCGCGTATTCGGACTCTCGCAGCAGCAGCTCGTACTGCTCCAGGGTGGGCCGGGGCCAAGGTGCCGTACCCGTCAGCAGCGCCGTTAGGACCTGCGGGGTGGAGGATGGAGGGGCGGGTGGAGAGGGAGTGGAGACAGGGGACGAAGAAGGGACCGGCGCATACACACATACATACACACATACACCGCACAGCGCCTTCCCCAGCTTCGCCTTGCCCCATGGGCACTGGCCACTGCCCAGTGGAGACCCCTCCTGCGCCCTCCTGTGCGTATGGACCCCAACGGCAACTGTCGAATCGTGCCCTCCGGGTGCGTGTGCCGGGTTGGTCCCAACCAGGCAGACTCGCCGCCGGCTTTCCCCCGCACCTCACCTCACCTGCACTGTCACCGCCTCCTCACCCCCCGCCGCTGCCGCTGTCGCTGCTGCCCAGGCGGTGGCCCCCCGGATGACCCCCTGAGCCGCATCTGACAGCCGCTCCACCTGCAACCAGTGAGGTGAGGTGCGGTGAGGTGAGGTGTGGGTAGCAACCAGTGCCGTGCGGAGAGGCATACACCCCCGGGTGATGCGGAGACCGGATAGTCAACCCCTCTGATGCGGAGCGGGTCAAGGAGGTGCGATACTGACCTCGCGCACGACAGACCGGACAGCAGGAGAAGAGCCATGCGCCCTCATGGAATGGGACTGAGACCATAATCCAGATCCAGGTACGGCATACGACAACAACTCCGAACAGACCCCACCTGGATCTCGCTGACGAACACGCGCGGCAGCACGGCCCTGACCCGCGGGTCGGTGGGCGTGAACCAGGTGGCCACCAGCTTCTTGCCCGGGAATGTCAGCGGCGCCTCCGGGTCGTCCATCCGTTGGTAGCCGAGAGGCACCAGAATGCGCTCCAGGGAGGAGATGCCCAGACCGGGAACCTGGCGCCCGAGGAGGAGGAGAGGGTTGCAGATGGGGGCCGGCGCAGAGCAGTGCAGCGCAGAGCGGGGGCGTACAGGGTGACTCCGGAGCGGCGCAGAGCAGGGCCGTAGAGCGGGATTTTGGGGATAAGAGTGGAGTCCAAAGAGGGTGACTCCGTGGGGTGCGACTTGCAAAGCGCAGCCCAAGAGCCGAGGCGACGTTGGCGATCGGGCGTCGCAGGGGCGGGTGTGGAGGGCGGGGTGCGGCGGAGGGGCGGCGTCGCCATTGGACGCCGCGTGCTTGTTCTCATTGCGTTGCACTTGCACACTGGCAATGTCCACCGACCCACCGACCCAGGGCATCGGCTACCGCCCCCGCTGGACGCACCCCGAACGTCCTGAAGGCGAAGTGGTCGTGCCCCAGCTCCCGCGCCGCCTCCGTCCCAGCCCCGTAGCGCGGCCGCATCACGCCCTCCACCACCGTCCGCAGCCCCGGAGTGCGCTCTGAGGGAGCCAGCGAGCGAGGCAGGCAGGCAGGGGAGAGAGGGAGGCAGGGGAGCGCCCGGCCAGGAGGCGCCCGGCGGTTTCGGGAGGCGCCGATGGGGTTGTGCGGGTTGTGTAGGTACGGACTACGGAGCAACCAGGTACGGAAGGGCCCCGTGGATAACCGACAACTGCCGAGCCGTACCCCCAAGAGGCGCACTGCGCTCTTCCGCAGCCAACCGCTAATTGGTTGATTGACACGTGCAAGCTCAGCGCAGCTCAGAGTAGCTGAACCCTTGGGAGCACTCGCTCCCACGGCCCGCCCCATTGGCCGACCGTCCACCCCGCCACCGACAGACGGCCGCCGCCGCTGCACTGCAGCCGCCGTTCGGACGCACCCGCGTAGTGCTCCAGGACCTGGTGCAGCAGCGGCAGTGTAGCGGGCGGGACCTGCGGGGGACGCCGGTCAACGGTCAGTTACCGTACCCAGTGGCTGCATGTGGTGCAAACCAGAAGACTGAACACCGTTCGCCATACACGGAGCACATCACGGAGAGGAGTATTACGGCCTCAAGACGCGTTCGCGTACTGCGGGGCAGGGCGCAAAGCCGCAGACAACCTGGCTAGGCCTGGGGACTGACGAGACGTCCAACGACTCCCACTCAGCTCCCCGCCGGGAGCCCGGTTTTTCGGGTACCGGTATTGGTGGTTGCTGGAAACCAACAGACCACCGCACCTGGCAGTGCTCAGGAAGTCGGATGCCCAGCTCTTTGGGCAGCCATGAGTGGCCTTCAAGTCGCGCAGCAGAAGCCGATGTCGCGAGGCCGGGGCGATGGGGACCTGCCATGTGGCGACCGCCTGGCCGACTTACGGCAGCCTGGAGCTGCCCTTGTCTACCGGGACAACCAGAGCGACTCCTGGAAGTCAGCGCCAGCTGCCGCGTCCCCAGGCAACCGAGGCGTAAGCTGCTGGAAAGCATCGCCTCCTCGGTGTGACGTTCTCCGCTGAGACGGACCGAGCCTTTCGGATTCAATCGCTATCAGTAAAGTTGTTCTCCCAATAATTTCAGATTTCCTACAAAGCCTTGAAAGCTGCTGCTCCGGTTACGTCGTCAAACCCTAGCACGGTCGGTTGCTTGCATCGTGGAAACTTGCGAAGGTTTGGCGTATCGTGTCTTGCTAACGTGTCATGCTACCGTCTTTGAGTCTGATATATTTGTTAGTCGCTTCAGGCCTTCATCGGCTGGGCCTGTTGGAGCTGGCGTGGACGTAGCGTTGGCTCTGACAAGGATGTCGTGCAAGGATTCGGCGCACAACAGTAGTCTGAGTGACAAGGTATTTTATATACAGATGCTGCTTCGAGCGGCAATAGTCCCATCATATGCTTCAGTCAAAGGGAGAATACGGCAAGGAAGTCAGAAAGATTAGTCTACTGTAACCTCTCTCTAGACATAATCGGTACTATGAAAAAATAATGTAGCTCAGTAGCTTGTGGAAGGTGCTCTAAGGGGACATCGTGGCGCACAGTGCCGACGCTCTGAATGCACTTTGTCCTGTACGGTTCTGTTCACCGTTTCCTTCCCTTCCCTGACAGCTAGCCCAAAGGATGATACCTTCAAGACAAAGGATCAAGAAGGTTCAACAGTCCATGCCGTCACATCTGGCGGAACAAGTGCACTGCTTTGTCGAACACGACGACATACGTTGGGTTCCTGAATCTATGCACTCAACCTGAATCGCTGTGTTGTCTGTGTTTCCACCACTCATC